TCTCGTTCGGAAACAGTTCGATCCCTTCGAACAACGTACTGAGCATTGTCTCTTCCATTAGGCGACGAAAAGTTGGCCTGATTGCACGGAGAGGGCAGGGGAGAGCGAGACCAGGAGCTCGACGACAACTGGATTGCAGGAAGTCTGGTGCAGCAGTACAAAAGGGATCAGGGCAATACTGGGGAGAGAACGAATCATGCGATGCCTTGGATGCAGTCAACTGGGGTGGGTGTGTGGATGCTCGTGTGTGTATGTGTGTGCTCTATTTTTCTGAGAATATGAGAGAGAGAGAGAGAGAGAGAGAGAGAGAGAGAGAGAGAGAGAGAGAGAGACAGACAGACAGACAGACAGAAAGACAGAGAGAGAGAGAGAGAGGAGAGAGAGAGAGAGAGACAGACAGACAGACAGACAGAAAGACAGAGAGAGAGAGAGAGAGAGAGAGAGACAGACAGACAGACAGACAGACAGAAAGACAGAGAGAGAGAGAGAGAGAGAGAGAGAGACAGAGAGACAGACAGACAGACAGACAGACAGACAATTCAATTCAATTCAATTCAATTCGTATTTATTAAGAAAAAAACTTAAACAAGGCACTTACAGATAGAAACATTAACATAGTAATAAACTGCCTAAAAATAGAAAAAGACAACCCCTAAGCATGACTGCTTGTCAGGGGTGGATTTACTGTCTTTCTGTCATAACAAACAATAAAAACAAACAAACAAAAATCTTTTACAAACAAAAAAGTCTTTTACAATTTAAACTCCACCTTTCTTTTTGTTATTTAGATTTTTCAATTGTTTGTACTTAAAAAATATTGTTTTAATTTTGTTTTCATGGCACTTTGACTATTTATATTCCTTAAATCTATTGGCATCTTATTTAGTATTTTTGGCACGACCACCTCTGTCAGTCTATCACCATACTTATTCATACCTATCTTATATTGGAAACTCTCATTTCTTGTTAAGTATCTATGTTGTACTATATTTCTAAACTCTTTCTTAAAATAATTTCTTTTTAAAACTTTTAATTTGTACAAATTCTCTAATGTTAAAATAGTATTTGGTAATGGAACTCTTTGCTTTTTCTTCACAATCTTTACAGCTCTCTGCTGTAATGATTTAATGGGGAGCAAGTTTGTATCCGAGGCAGATCCCCACACTTCAAGCCCATAACTCATGACTGATTCAAAGAGGGCTGTATAAGCCATGTTTACTATGTTATGTGGGGAGCAGTTACTTAATTGTGATAATTTATACAGGCAACACCTCAACTTCCCTCTTAGCATTTTAACATGGCTTTTCCAGTTTAGGTGTTTATCAACTATCAACCCTAAATACTTCACTGACTCCACCATTTCAATATTCATTTTGCAGGTGCAATTTGCAATATTACTGTGTATACACTCAATAGAATGAAATCTTAGGTTAAGATCTCTTCTTGCAATATAAGGAGTGGATATATGCATTACTTTAGTCTTTGTTCCATTCATTATGAGATTCTTATCATGACACCATTTTTGGTACTCAGTAAACTCCTCCTGCAGTCTTGCCTCAGCTATATCTAAGTTTTTGTGTACAGAAATTATAACAGTATCATCTGCATACACAAAATATTTACATTTTTTAAAACACCTTTTTAGATCGTTTATATAAATCAAGTACAGCAGGGGACCAAGAAAACTGCCTTGTGGTACACCATACTTAAGTTTTACACAGCAGCTGTCAACTCCTGCCACACTTACCTTACACATTCTGTTTTCCAGATAACTTTTAAACAGTTTGTACGCTTCTCCTCTCACCCCAATATTTTCTAAGCTTTTCAATAATTTTTCATGACTAATGGAATCAAAAGCCTTAGACAAATCCACAAACATTACAACAACATGCATACCTTTATCCAAGGACTCATTTACTATGTCAGAGAAATTTTGTAACAGATCAATGGTACTCTTTCCCTTCTGATACGCATATTGGTGTTCATCAATCACTTTGTACTTTTTGAGGTATGAGAATAAATGTGTATACATATATAGCTCAATTGCCTTGCTTATAGTTGATAAAATGGAGACTGGTCTATAATTACTATATTCACAGGGTGATCCAGTTTTATAAATAGGCCTGATTGTGGCAATTTTGATTTCATCGCAGAAAATTCCTTTTTTTATTGAGTTATTGATTATGTTTTGTAATATTGGAGCAACTAGTTCGATATTGTCACTTAGGTGTGATACCTTAATTCCATCATCACCAGGAGATTTTTCTTTTAAAGTCAGAATAATTTTATCACATCCTCTATTGTTGCTTCTGGTAAAAAGAAAGAGTTGGTTATTCTGTCAGTTGCATTCTTCAGCAAGAGTGTCGGACATTCATGCATAATACACTCAACCTGATCTTTGAAAGTATTGACAAAGTTATTGGCAACCGTTTCTATTTCTAAGATACCCGCAAAATTTTTTGTAATTATGTTGTCAATATTTTCACTCACTTTGTTATTTAATACAGAGTTTACCAGTTTCCAAGTAGCCTTAATATCATTTTTACATTTTTCAAATTGCTCCTCCATATATCTTTCCTTGCTTCTTTTAATAGAGTAAATTATTTTATTTCTGAGACCCTGATAAACTTGTCTCAGCTCCAGTCTTTTTAAGTAGCTTTCTTTCGAGGACACTTTCCATCTTTTGAAGGCTTTATCTCTCTCATGCATTAAGCGAACAATCTCATCAGTTATCCAAGGTTTTCTTACATGTCCATTTACTTTTCTCTCCTTCATTTTAACCCTTATGGTAGCAGACGAAAATGCCTCTCTAAGTTCTAAATAATTTTCACTTGGACTTTCCGTCATATTATTTTTGACACTATTTAAGTTTTCCTTCCACCTCTTTTTTACAAGTATGTTCTTCATTTTGTTTTCACTTTTTCCATCTTCCTCACATTTATTTTTATTATTCTGAAAAGAGAGCAGACAGACAGACAGACAGACAGACAGAGAGAGACGGTTAGAGGGAGAGGGAGAGAGAGAGAGAAATTGAAAGAGAGAGCGGGAGAGTGTGTGTGTGTGTGCAAGCGGTAGCCCACTTCAAAACTTAGAAAGAGCTGGAGAGGGGCATACAAGCGAAGAGTGCCCAGCCCGACCACGCCACGCCACGCCACGCCCTCTGTCAGTCCGTCTAAGGCGCGTCCGTCCGTCCGGGATAGTAGTACGTTGTTGCTGCGGCGCTGCGGCGAGGCCCGGGACTCCGAGATAGAGCCGTGCACCGAGGAAGGACTCGCTCGAGTGGAAACGAAGCGAGGCAGGCTTGGAGGAAGGGGGAAGTGAGGTGTTTTTGCTGAATGGCATCGAATTGGCCGCCCGGCTTCGCCCGGCTTCGCCCGGCTCGGTGGCGTGCCCGGGATTGGTGCTGCCGCGTTGCCTCGCTCAATAAATCATCTGGCCACTCGGCGCGTCGCGGCCGCCAGCCTTTTTGCTGTCCGCCTGCCGAGCTCCGATGAAGACTCCTCGAGGAGCGCCACCGAGCCACGGGCCGCCCGGTCAGTCAGTCGGCCTCTGACTGTCTGTCTCTCTCGCATGAAGCTTCTCCTCGTAGCGGTGCGAGAGAGACAGCGGGCTGATTGGGCAGGGGGCGGGGGTCTCGCCAATATGTCTCTCACTTACGGGGCTCTCCATGAGAGCGAGAGAGAGGCCTCTTCCTCGGAGGCAGCCCGCAGAGCGGCGAAACGCTGCGGGGGCAGGTGGCGAGCCTCGGCGCCACCCTACACGCTTCCAGGGCCGACACACGGCGACACACGGCGTCACAGGTGCCAACAGAATCAGGCCAACAAGCCCTCTGCACTCGTCGGGGCCCTGCTTCCCGGCGGCCCCGGGGCCCTTGGGCTGCCCTCTGGGCCCCACGCGCCTCGAGGGCGGAGGGCACACTTGACAGGTGGTGATAGGGACGGTCGGCCGGCAGCAGTCTGATTCCGAGAGTCGTCCTCGTCGCCCTGCCTTGCTCGCACCCGCACGGGACGGCCCGTGTGACAGAGCGACGGAAACGACTCTCGGAATCAGTCGGCAGGCCAACAGCTGGTCGATGGCAGGACGGGCAGGCGTGGCAGCAGGGTTGGCATCCCCGCCGCTGATCCGAGATATTGCCAACATACCGACGCCGCCGCCACCGATCCCTCTATTCCCCTCTCATTCGTTTTATTTTTTTAACCTTCATGCCGATTCCTCGAGACCGCGCGCGTCATGAGGTGAGGCATGCGCCTCGTGGCCATGGCCTCGCTCGTGCCCACGTGGCCAATAAGCTGGTCGGAGCGACGGGAATGAAAACGGCATCAAAATGAGTTTCTGAGCTCTTTGCACTATTTCGGCGGCAGAGACGAACGAACAAGCCCCGCTCGTCTCGAGTCTGTATCCAATTTGCTCGTACTCCAGCGAGAGCACTGAAAACCCAAACGCAGTCTACTCCGCACCTCCAAATTGCGTGCCATTTTTTTGCCCGCATCGAAAATGGTGAAGTCACTCCGCACCAGAAAGTGTGAAGCTCTGCACTCTTATTTTGACCGCGTGGGTGGTGGGTGCACCAGTGCACAGTGGAGGACCTGTGGAGGCGGTCCAAATCCTGAACGGGTTCTGGGCTCCCGAGTCGCTATCTCAAATCGAAGTGTGACCCCACCAATGGATTGCTCTCCGAACGAGGAATCCATTGGTGGGCCCACCAGATGCTCGGTTTGGCCCACTGAAGTTCGGCCGCCTGTGCCAGTCCACATGCAGTACACTCTTAATGTCTTACAATGAAATTTGACCTATGTTATTCGTATGTTACAGTGAATTCGGCGCAAGCATAATACGAAGCAATATTCCTTCGTCATACGAATCTTTATAGCTTTTTCCTTGTAAGATACAACGAAAAACCTTCGTAATACGAAGAAAAACCACCTTCGTATTATGCTTGCGCCATTTCCTTCGCATTGTGGGAAATTTCTTCGTAAGACATTGTGCGGCTTGAGACTCACCCGTCGATGAGCGGCACCTCCTTGAGCAGCCTGCGCACGAGGTCCAGCCGCTCCTGGTGCGTGGACAGGCCGCGGGAGCCGCGCAGGGACAGCGGCACGCCGAGCGCCAGCGCCAGCAGCACGCACAGCGAGCACACTGCCAGCCCCACGCACCACGGCCGGCGGCGGCGAGCTGCGGACAGAGAGACAGCGTCACATTCAGGACCGGTCGGCCACGCTGACGGCTGCCGTCATGCAATTGCTTTGTGACGGAAATACGGCGGCAACGGGGCGAAAATAGGGTCCGTGTCACTTTGGCGCCAAATCGCCGCTTCTGCTGGTGTCGTCCGCTGCTGCCGGTGCACTGTGTGCCATAGGGGACCGGAGTGGGCGGCCAAAAAAATTATCGACGCGTTTTGAGCTCCAGGGGCGCTCTAACGGGACCAGAATCGAACGTGTGGCCCCACCAATGGATTTCTCTGCGGCCGAGGAGAGGAATCCTTACGTCACACGTTCGGTTCGAGTCCTTGTTTGGCGACTCTGGAGCTCAAAACGCGTCAAGAGTTTTGGCCGCCTCCACCGGTCTTCCGGCCCACTGTGCACTGGCTTCTTCTTCTTCTTCTTCTTCTTCTTCTTCTTCTTCTTCTTCTTCTTCTTGCCCCTGTACTGGTGGTGTGGCGCGGCACATCTGGTGCACTGAGGGGAAGAAGTGATCTACGGTCTGGCACTCTTCCATCGCGCAGTCGTATTCTGCCTCGACACCAAATATGCGTGCATCGGCACACACACACACGCGCGCACAAACGCGCACACCTACACACACATACATTAGCTTTGTGGCGAACAACAAGCAAACAGGTACATTTGTTACAAAGGCGCGTGAAAAATGGGTCGGAGAAGCGGGGGGGAATGGCCTCGCTGGGGGAAATTGAGTTTTCATGGCCCCTTGCTTGTGCACAACAAATACAGTGTAGTTCTATCCCGTGTGTAAGCCGTTCCCCCATTCCAGCGTAAAGCTGCCACGCGTTCTGCGCGCCTTTGAGTGCCCTGCTGTGCCTTGCTGTGCCCTGCCCTGCTCTGCAGCAGCACGCGTTCCTCACACGCTCATCGATTGTGCCTTGGCAGTGGAATGGTCCGAATCACCCGGGGGCCTCAAACTCACCAGACTGATTCCGAGAGGCGTTCTCGTCGCTCTGTCTCTCTTGCACCCAAAAGGAACGGCCCCTACTCTGCAAACGCAAGGCTGCGCACAGCACACAGTTTCAAATACGCACACTATTCTAAAGGGTGTTCCTAAAGGTGTGCGAGAGAACAGCCTCGTATCAAATGTCCAGTTTTGGCACCAACCACAAAACATTTTTTTTACGGCACCGAGGAATAGGGAGGCCACGGTCAGTCGAGCCCGGACTCTACAGAACGCCACCGAGCTGGTGAGGAAACCACTATTTTGCAGCATAACAGCACGGGCCGTGCTGTGTCGCTGGGCCCGTGCCCTGCATCCGGACTTCTCTGGCAACAATTAACAGGCACCGTCGTCGTTAGTTCAACGAGCTGTGATTGTCGCGGATTGCCGACAGCATGCTTCATTCTCGGAAACTCGATGATTGGGCCGCTCGCAGTCGACAGCAGCAAAAGGAAGCCCTGCGGGTTGCTTATTTAGAGAAGCTCAGCGGGTTCGGCACCATCCCCCTCCACCCGACCCAGTCATGGTAGGGGGGTGGCGGACGCCCCAGGTTGCGGATAGTCACCATTGCAGTACCTGCCTCCTACCGGCGGTCTGGGTAGCGTAGTGGTAACGCTCGCTGCTCCCACGCTGCGGATACGGGTTCGTCGCTCGGAAAATTTGTCCCTTTTTTGGACTGTCTGCGTACTGCAAAGATCTGCCGCGAGTAGCGTAAGATCTGTCGCGAGTTAGAGAAAGATCTGTCGCGAGTAAGAGAAAGATCTGTCGCGAGTTAGAGAAAGATCTGTCGCGAGACCGTTAGGTTAGGTTAGGATAGGTTGGATCATTTGGTTCCAGGCTTCTTGGGGCAGCCTCCCGTGCGTTCCGCCAGACGAGTTGTGCGGTGGTGCCGAACCCGTTGAGCTTCTCAAAATATGCCTGAGGGTTGGCGCGCCAGGCACTCCATCTTCGGAGCCACCCGAAAACAGATCCTCACCAGCAAGGTGGGTGCGCGTGAACCAAGGAGCGGGGTGCGCTATGGGCGCGGGCCACGGGAGCAGGTCTCGGCTGTCGATTTTGGCGGGGCAGTGCAGCGCGCCGCGCTCGCTGCGGACACGCCACTGGTAGCTTCCTTTTCTCATCACACTGGAAACTACCGTGAAACAGGTCGCATTCACCTTGACTCACGATCCAGGCCAATTTTGCGATCAGGTTTATTCATTGACTTGACTTGATTGGGATCGGAAGAGGGACATGCGATTCGGGCAAGGAACAAACAAGATATTCGGGTTGATTCGGGAAGTAGCTTGAAGATGAGGTTCAAAGATTTGATCCTTAAAAAGAAAGATGCTTTGTACGCCTCATCGTATCATTATTCCAGACGTTATGTGTGAATTTTGTCGCGTTCGAGTAAAAACGATGTCACATTTGTGTGACCGTGACACTGCCGTGTAGTAGTTCGTTTCAACGCGGATCGAAACTCAAACAAATGTGACACTTTGTGACAAAATTCACAATCCAGTGATGAGCGTGACGCCATAACAGTGTAGCCGTGGGAGCGTTTTACCATTTTACAGTATGAAAAACAAACCATCCTCATAATGAACCTGGATTTGTTTGTTCGGTTTCAAATGGCGCCCAGTGCTTTGTGGTTGGCGCTTGGCTCATTTCCGACCCACCGCTGAAAGAAGATGCCGTGTCGCAAAGTTGTGGTGAAAGGATGGCGTTCTTTTCGAAATGAATGGCATAAAGGTCCCCGCGCTTGGCTTGCTTCTTCGTTTCCGGAGTCAGGACAGGGCCCCGCCACGCCACGGCCTGCCCGTCCGCCCTGGCATTGCAACGCCACGCAGTCAGGCGTGGGCCTCCCCCCAGACCCGGTACACTGAGTTGACAATGGCCGATGTGATGTCTCCGAGGCTCACCGTGCGCCTCCACTGTGACTGTGAAACCAAGTGTGGCGAACTCCACACCACCATCCAGATTATGCGGGTGGAATTTACCGTCCTCCACACTAGTTGTGGAGTTCTCCACGTTTGCACCACTTAAAGTGTGGAGGCTGCAAGTTCCACTCACGTCTAAAAGTGGAGAATTACTCCACACCAGGAAGTGCGAAGTTCTCCGCGCTTGATTGGACGGTGTCCTCACTCTTCGAGCCTGCATGCCCTTTGCGTGCCCATCGCAGCACCGAGCAGAGCAGCACGCGGTGGACTCAACAAAAGGGCGTCGACTGCCCATCAATCGCCGTGCATGACAGCTAGGGTGTGGAGCGTTGGAACAAAACTGAAGTTTGACTTTTCATAGCGAAGACGAAAGAGAAACCAACCGCCGAACACACGGGCAAGCATTGCCACACAAACACACGATATTTGCTCTATGTCTACCCTTCCCCTCACACACACACACACACACACACGCACTCACGGCAGTGTATTTGCACCCTAGTTTATTCTGGCCATTTAGGTAAATAAAGGATCCTAGAAATCCACCGGAGCCGGGGCGGAATGGGACACGCGGCCCAGGCGTCGCCGCGGCCTGTAGCTTTTTCATGAGGCACCAGACTGATTCCGAGAGTCGCTTTCGTCGCCCCGTCCCTCTCGCACCCATATGGGACGCGCCGCGAGTGCGAGCGAGGCGGGGCGACGAAAGCGACTCTCAGTCTGCGGCACCTCGCAAGGACGCGGCCGGCCGGTCCGCCGTAAAAGTTGAGGACACTCAGAGGATTGCAGAACTACCGCATCCTTCCGTCTGCCCGGCCCAGGCCCAGACCCAACCCGCACTGCCGCCGCTCGGCCGCCGCTGAATAGAGTCCCCGCACTGCTGCACGGTTTCCGGAGTACCCCTTTACTGCAGCACAGCTTCCAAAATCCCCTACAGCTGGTCAGTTGTTCCCAGCACCCCCCACTGCTGCACAGTTGTTCCAAGAACCCCATCCTTGGGCTGCTGCACAGGTTGTTCACTCTCAGCCGCCCCCCTCCCCTCCCCAGATTTTTGCAGATTATTAGTACTCATCATTGCAAAAAATTATGATAGTTTTTAGCAGATGATACATTCATTGAGGCCTACATAAAACAGAAATAGTGCAGTGGTTATTGCAGTTTGAATGGCGGTGTATTGGTTGGAGTTTGGAGTGTTTACCGCTCGAAGCGCAGCGACCCCTGTACAGCAGCGCTCGGTGGGCTGATACCAAATCGAGGCCGAGCGGGCCGGCCGGCTGGACGGGACCGGTGTCCGGACGAGGGCCTCCCCGATTTGGAGAGGGGGGGGGGGCATCTACCACAGGCAAGCCGCGACCCCGCAGGCCGATGCCGAGCCGAGTCGCTCCGTCTCTCTCCTGCTCAGAGGAAAGGCGACGAAGCACATTCAGCCTTGCTGCCGAAGCAAAGTGTCTCGGGAAGCCCCAATGAAGCCGGGCGCGGCGTGTCGAGTGGCGCCACTCCAGGACGACCCCCCCCCCTCTCTCTCCACGCCCGCTGCATAGCAAGCCGCTATGATCCCGAGTAACGAGGAGCGTCCCACTGCGACACCGACCCTATAAATTATTCCGTCACACCATTCCGTCGATTTGTTCCTTTTATTCGCGGCGCCTTTTCCCCCGGCATTATACATTCATCCGACGCGGCCGTCTTCGGCCCTGAATTAAATAGATCCGATTATTCGCACAAAAACAAACGAGGTCGGCCTTGCCCTTGCGACGCCGGGCGACGCCGGGCGACGCCGGGCGACGACGCGGACCCGACACAGCGCCCCGACACAAATGAATAAATTTGGGTAATCAACCGACCGGTGCCGGCGTCGCGGCGCGTCGCGGCGGCTCCACGTGGCCCGCCTGAGCCGATCCAGGGGGTGGCGGGGAGACGACAGCTTCGCGCGGAGACGGCCAAGGCCGAATGATTCTCGCAGACGCGCACAGTGGAACCAAGAACCCCACTCTTGAAAGGCGGAGGTTAAGGGGTATTGAAATGCACGCTTTTTTGATTTTCATACCGGCCCAACCGGAAAATTGTTTTTTCATCTATTTAATTAGCCTACGCCAAAACTGAGACCGGTCGAACAGGACCTAGGGGTCGCCAATGTTTTTTTAAGGTTCAATTTCGACACTGTTTTGCTAAATTCCGAGAATTTTCGTGTTGTGGGTTCCCAGATCGACCGGTCTAGACCGAGCACCCCGGACTCGTTTTTGTCTCTTTCTACTTAGTACGGGGAGTAAAATGAGAGCTCGTAGGGCCCGATCGGACATGTTTGGGAAAATTAGTAACGTCGTTTTGGTGAAAAAAATGCCTTTTTTTAGCGTTTTAAAAGTTTGGAATTTTTTAGCTGTTTTGCGTCTGCACCGAACGAATCGTCCTGAACGTCACTTTATAGAAAAAAGTCTCAGCTTTCGAATGCCGTATCGGGAAATGCTCTACGACCTTTCGTTAAGGAGATACAGGCGTTAAACGAATAACATGTCACTCAAAATGTCAATTTAATTAGTGATATTTATCAGTGGAGTGCTTCCTTTTTCATTGCTACTTTAACAGTTTGTAAAGATTTCGCATACTTTGAGCCTGGACGTCAGCAACTGCGATAGCGAGGAGGCGGGGGTGGGGATCGATGCGCGGTGGACGTGCACACTGTAGGTAGCTCGGCCCAGGCGGCACAGGTGAGACTGCAGGTGGTGGGGGAAAGCAGCCAGTGGTGGGGGGATGCCGGCTTCTCGGTAGCACACGTGCTGCGTCTCGCTCTGGTCCGCTCCGCTCAGTGTCAGCTGACAGTGTAGCGTTGCCGTCCAAGGGGCCAGTCGTCTTGATGGCGGACATCAAGACGACTGGCCCGTTTGACGGCAACGCCTACACTGTCAGCTGACACTGAAGCGCACGCGCGGCGGGCCGGACCGGAGCGAGACGCAGCACGTGTGCTACCGAGAAGCCAGCATCCCCCCCCCACTGGCTGCTTTCCCCCACCGCCTGCAGTCTCACCTGTGCCGCCTGGGCCGAGCTACCTACAGTGTGCACGTCCACCGCGCATCGATCCCCACCCCCGCCTCCTCGCTATCGCAGTTGCTGACGCCCAGGCTCAAAGTATGCGAAATCTTTACAAACTGTTAAAGTAGCAATGAAAAAGGAAGCACTCCACTGATAAAAATCACTAATTAAATTGACATTTTGAGTGACATGTTATTCGTTTAACGCCTGTATCTCCTTAACGAAAGGTCGTAGAGCATTTCCCGATACGGCATTCGAAAGCTGAGACTTTTTTCTATAATATGACGTTCAGGACGATTCGTTTGGTGCAGACACAAAACAGCTAAAAAATTCCAAACTTTTAAAACGCTAAAAAAAGGCATTTTTTTCACCAAAACAACGTTACTTATTTTCCCAAACTTGTCCGATCGGACCCCACGAGCTCTCATTTTACTCCCCGTACTAAGTAGAAAGAGACAAAAACGAGTCCGGGGTGCTCGGTCTAGACCGGTCGATCTGGGAACCCACAACACGAAAATTCTCGGAATTTAGCAAAACAGTGTCGAAATTGAACCTTAAAAAAACATTGGCGACCCCTAGGTCCTGTTCGACCGGTCTCAGTTTTGGCGTAGGCTAATTAAATAGATGAAAAAACAATTTTCCGGTTGGGCCGGTATGAAAATCAAAAAAGCGTGCATTTCAATACCCCTTAGCGGAGGTGGGGGATTTTGAGTCACCGCACTTCAAGTGTGGGTTTCTGCTCCATGCCTGAAGAGGGCGCTCTGTGAGCTACTCCGCGCTTCAAAGTGGAGACTGCAAACTCGGCCTCAAGTGTATGGCTAGTGCGCTGGTCGGTACTCACCTCTGGCCTCGGGCGCGCTGTCCTTGCTGGAGCAGGAGGACGCCGAGTCGGGGTAGCCCAGGTGGATGTGCGAGCGGGAGGCGCGCCCGTTGCAGCGCGGCGCCGCCACGTCGGGCAGCTCGGACAGGCAGGTCGTCTGCAACAAGGCAACGCCATTATGGGGCTGGCCGGCAGGCTGGGGCAGGCTGGGGCAGGCAGCCTCACTCCCGGAATATGCAGCCACACTGACAGACTCAAACCTGCACGCGAGCGCACACCTACGCACATACACGTACACCTAGGCACACACACGTACACCTACGCACACACGCACATCTAGACACCTGCAACACACATACATACCACACACACACACACACACACCAACACACGCACACACCAACACATGGAGATATTAAGAGACGCTTATTGACCCGCGGCGCTCGCGCGCTCGCAGTGGCGTGGCAATCCCCTCGACAGGTTTGCCCCACAAGATGCACGGCTCGATCCCCGCCAGGCCCGGCAGCACGCGGGCAGGCCAATATGAACCGACCTTCCCCTCCCCCCCCTTTTCTCTCCGAGGCACAGTTTCAAGGCCCACTTTATGCCGCGATAAAATGGCGACCTGACAGCATCAGCCAGTCTGAATTTCAATGGGCCCGACCCGACCCCCGCGTATGCGCATGTGTGAGTGTGAGGGAGAGTTGGGTATGTGTCAGTGCGCATGCGCTGTGTGTGCGTGTTTAGGTCGTGTGCGTGCGTGTGCCTGCAGGTGTGTGTGTGTGTGTGTGTGTGTGTATGTGTGTGTGTACACACTTTTCAGACAGCCCTCCCATTCGGCTTTATGATCTGCATGGACAGGCTGCGCAACCGCAGAAGGATTAAAACGCATCGCGCAAATCGACGAGATGCTCCGGTTGGATTTACGGCTTGCCTGGGGTTGGCGGCAACCAGCGGCAGCGCGGTGCGAGGCGGAGCGTGAGAGCCCCTCCAAGGCACCTGCGCTGGGCTTGCTTTTTATCCCTGCCTCGGACAGAGAGGGACTCTCGCTGCAACTCCCACCCACGGAGCGCTCGCCGGTCGGCCAGAGCCAGCGCTGCCGACTCTCCGATTGTAAAAAGCACGGCGGGAGCCTTGTAAGTGAATCCACACTGTGACACCAAAAGCGTGGAGGCTGAACATCACATTTCTGCGTTTCAGTGTGGAGTTCCGGTGACGTGCTCCGGGAGGAAAATACAGGCACGCGTGTCCTAATTTTGACCGAATTTGGACAAAAAAAAATCGCTCATTGCGAGGTCATGTTGACTTGAGATGTTTCGTTCTCCGTGGGCCGCCGAGGCTCCTTGCCGGCGCTTGCCAGTCTCTGGGGGCCTGGAAGGGAATCCTCTCATTGACAGTGTGAGGTCGGCAAGTCGGTGAGCGCTTCCAGGAAGCAGGGGAGGTGGCAGCAGGGCTCACGCCACGCCACGCCACGCCACGCCGCCCGCCTGCGCGCGCCCAAACGTCTCCCGGAGTTTCGGCGATATAATCATAGTGATGGCAAGGCGGGCGGCTCTTGCGCTTCAAGAGCCTCCTCGACAGAAACGTATGGCCCGTCACCACCACGCCACGCCACGCCCTGCCACGCCCTGCCACGCCCTGCCACGCCCCGCCCCACCACGCCCCACCAAGGCTCGCCCTGCCACGCCCCGCGCTGCTCACTCGCCACTACACCGTTGAAGACAATGTTGCAACCGAGACTCTCAAATCCTACTTAACTAGTTTACGCCTAACCGACAAAATTGGATGACGAGCACAGTGTCTCGAGCAAAGCTTCGAAAGAAACCACATCGTAGTAGAGGTAGGATGGGGAAGGAAATCGGTAAGAAAAGTACACCCTGATGCAGCTGGTATTCTGACAGCCTTACCTTCAACCAGTTATGTCAAATAAAACTGGAAATCTGAGAGTGAAATCCCCGTCAAATAGAAGTCCAGGTCTGCAGTAGGCCACAGGGGGCGCACTTATCTCACCCTGTTCTTTTCCTCCCCAACAACTACACGAGGCAATGCTTTGAAATAACAGTTAATATGCCTTACATATTGCTCAAAATGCTTGGAAGGGGAGGAACGAGACTGCCGTATGGGGAAACTCTCTTGTTTACCTTTCTTTTGTTTCCAAGTTTGAGCGCGAGGCGCTTCGTGTAATCAAGTGAGGTGATGACGCCTAGAGGCGGGGCCAGCGCGGCCAGCGAGGTCCGGACGCTAAGGCGCCTTTATTAAACCGATAAACTCTTTCCTGGCAATCACCCGGTTTGCCTATTAGCACGCCGCAAGCGCGTTGCGGCACACTGTGATTCCACGAATGTGACGTCATTACTCGTTAGAATGTGAGTTTTCGTCACGTTCCACCGCAACGAAAATGGTGAAAAGTAAAACAAAATTATGAGGGTCGTAGAAAGCACAACGAAGACTCGCCTAGACTGCACTCGCCATGCCGGTTCCATTGTGTGGAGTTTGCAGTCTTGGCATCTTGCAAACGTGTAGGATGTGGACTGCAAACTCCACACGTATGGAGAACCACGCCGCGCCAGGAAGTGCGGGGGGCTGCACAATTGGATTGACAGTCATGTCATGTCGCTGGGTGCTTAAAACAGAAGGCAGGAACTGGTGAATGCCTTGCGGTGTTCCGCCGCTGGCTTTTGGCTTATCCCGTAAACGAGAAATTAAAACAGATGCAGCCGCGCGTGCAGGGCGGCCAGCTTGAAGCCAGCTTGAAGCCAGCTTCACGCCCGAGATTACACAACATGGCGGCGCCCGCGGCAGTGTGGCCCCGCCGCTTGCCGCCAAGACCGGCGCCCTCCCTTGTCTCTTGCAGCCACACCTGGGATGCACGGGCGACTCCTGAAAAAGACCTCTTTTTTTTCAGAGCACTCCAGACGACTTCTGGGAAAAAGACGCCCTTTCCCAGCACAGGTAGTACCAGAAATTACCAAGCCTGCTCTGGGAAAAGGGGTCTTCTCCCCAGGGGCCGCCTGGGATTTCCAACACTGGAAAACAACGAATGTGACGTCATATTCGTTCGAATGTGACATCATATGCAAACGAACGTGACAAAACTCGCACTGTAACGAATATGACGTCACATTCGTTGGCTACCAGTGCACTTGCTTTGCCGTGGAGCCGCCAGGGCGACGTCAGCTTTGGAGCGAGACAACGCGCCGCCCTGTCCGTCATGCCGCTCGGTTGTCACTGCATTCGTGCGCCCTGCCGCGTAGCCTGCACTGCAAAACCTAACCAAGTATTTGGAACACGTGAAGTACAAACTATTTACTTTGTTATAATGACAATAAAGGTCATAAGTTGATAAGAGTTTTCTATGTTAGCGCTCTTTGTAAAAAAAAACTACCTTTCTTTGTGAGGTTTGCAAGATCAACCGTACTCGTCTCTCTCACACACATCCCCCCGAAACGCCCCACGAATGCGAGAGAGGCAGAGCCGCGCCGGGCCGCCCAGCAGCGTGCCGCCTCCACTGTCAAACCGAGAACTCTACGCTGCCAGGTGCGGAGTACATTTTCCACACTTCAAGTGTGGATAAGCCCACAAAGTCCCTGTCTGTTGCATGGAGAACTCCACACTAGAAGTGTGGAGACTGCAAACCCTGCACTGCCAAGTGCGGAGACTGCGAATTTCACACCTCCACAATCCAAGTGTGCAAGTTCTCCACACTTGGTTTCACAGTGTCTGCAGAGGCCTCCACGGCCCGCGCTAATGGCAGCCTGTCACGTTGGCGAGGCATGGCGGGGCATGGCGAGGCATGGCGGGGCATGGCGGGGCATGGCGGGGCATGGCGGGGCCCTCGTCGGCCAGAAAGGCTGCGGACCGAAATGAGGCCCGTGCAAATGTTGGCTCTGCTCTCCTGCCGCTGCACTCGCTTGTGGCGCTTGCGGCGTGCGGTCGGCCGGGGCGGCCGGCCCGGCAGGCCAGCCCAACAGGCCGCCGGGGCCGCGCTCGGCGACACACCGCGAGGCATGCCTCGCGCCTGCCTCGCGCCTGCCGCCTCAGAGACGCGGCGGGACGGGCCGTCGCCTGGCCAATGTTTTATTTAGCCTCTCCGAGCGACGCTCTATGCGGCCCCCGGCACGCTCCACGTGTGTGTGTGTGTGTGTGTGTGTGTGTGTGTGTGTGTGTGTGTGTGCAGTGACTCGGCTGGATGCGCCCGCTTCGGAGACACGCCTCGCCTGCTTACAGAGATAAAGTGTGATGAGGTCATGCTTACCTTCCAGCACGGTGTACACCGTGCCTTCCAGGCACCGTGCCTTACCTTCCAGGCACCGTGCCTCGCCTTCCAGGCGGCGTGCCTTCCAGGCGGCGTGCCTTCCAGGCGGCCCTGGGACGCCCGTCCCCCCTTCCCCTTGGACGGGCAGCGCGGCCGCTGAGCGGGTAGGCAACCAACCAGCCGTACGACCGCTCAGACAGCGAGGCTTTGTTTCCGACTCGCCCCGCCCTGCCAAGCCTGCCCCAATCCGCCCTGATCTGCCCTACCCTGCCCGCCCCGCCCCGCCCCGCCCCGCCCTGGTGCCTGCGGTTTCCAAAGGGGCGCTGACGACCAGGTCCCGTCCTTATTGTGTTTGTACTAAGCAATCGCGGAGCCACCGCAGCAGTGCACCGCTGCGGAGTCTCATGACAACGGATGATCCCCGGCCGTCGCTCCGCCTCTCTCACACGCACGACTCGCGAGGGTGCGCGAGAGAGACAGAGGCAGTGCTGCTCCCCTCCATGCCGAAGGCCGAGAATAAGTCCGCAACAGGCTGCCATCATGTCGTACAGACAGGCTGGGCTGTTCCCAGCGAGTTCCCTCCAACCCTTTCGCGGCAAAACAGAAACAAGAAAAAACAACAAAAAAAAACTAGCAGTAAACTACGGACGCGGCAATCTCTATGGCGCGGTAGATAGATGGCGTCCCGCCACGCGTTGTGCTGCTGTTGTTGTTTTTGTTGTTGGCCCGTCAAACAATTTGCGACGCTGGAGCGGGCCCGCCGCTTTGCTTTGGCTCCACTCATTCAGCGTCAATTTTTTCTTGATTTGGCTTTGCAACTCTAATCTGCACGACAACATGGCTATTGCAGGTTGACCCGCTAGCATGACAGTTGCAAAAACGAGAGAAATGCGGGGCACCGA